TTATAGAGCTGGATCACTGGACTATTTTTGTTTTTAAAGCCTCTAAAAAGATCACTTTCTTTTACTCTAAGACAACAAGTGGACACATGAAGGACTAATTGCATTTAAATTCTTCCAACAGTTATAAAAGCTGTTATGGCTGAGGAGCTGCCATAAAACAACCACATCTTCACATTTATGCAGAATTCTCCTTTCTTCAAAGGAACAGGTATGAAACTTCCTACATTGCTCAAAAATTAATTGCCTAACATTGGCCAAGTATTTTTTTTTAAACTTAATAAAATAAAATAAAGGGGTGTTTTTAAAAAAAAACTTTTTCAGCATTTCTTCCCTTTTAAAGAGTTAGATTTTGCAGTGTTATGAAAGTGCTGAAAGGCAAATTTTATGAGGTAGCTTATGACCTCAAACAGACCTAATGAGACAGAAATGCTGTAATAATGATAGTGTGATCCTTGCAATAAGTGATGGAATACGATCTGATAGAGCCACACCCAATTATTCCAGCAGTTACTAAATCTGCCATTTATTTTAATGAGCATTATTTTTTATTATTCCTAATTTTTTGTCTAATACTAACAACTGAACCCACTATCATACATATAACTCCACTGTGCTCAGCAGACATCTATATTTTAGAATAGGTATTTACTCTCAACTACTCATGATTTGAAACAGGCATTGGCAAGGCCAGTTTTCTATTACTAGAAACATGGACTTCTACTAGAATCATTAAGCTTACATTGACAATTTAAAATTTTTTTTGTGTTTTAAATAGAAGTTAAAGGAAAGTTAAAATAGCATCTTAATCAGAGTCTCTCACTAGAGGTCCTTATTGTTATTATAAATTAAATAAGTGATGATAGTTGTCAACACAAGTGCTCCCTGTCTGCCATTCGAGTGAGCATTATTTAAGACTTACTGATTTATTATGAGTCATTTTCAGCAAATGCATTGTTTGTGGACTGGGTCAGCAGAAACAGTTTAGGAGATGAAAATATGCTAGTCTGCTGTGCAGCACAGATGCCCAGGCAGCAACATAGTCTTCATACGTTCCATTACCTGCAGTCTTCATCCCTGAGGAAGGATAGCCCCACTCAGTGGGAATACACTTTAATTTTACTGCCAGCACAATACTTGGTTGGAGTGAGAAACCAAACTGCTGATTAATTTCTGCCAACTTCATGACAGGTTTTTTCATGTGCAGCTGTCTGGTTGGATTCAGGCTGAAATGATCCGTTCAGTTCCACTATTTCCCCAGTGTGAAGCTATGATGTAGCCCATGGTGCAGACTGCAGTTCCAGAGAATATTTGAGACATATTTTCTTCATTCAATATCACAGGGAGTTCCAATACTGTATATCCAAAAAAGGATTGGGAGGTAAAAAAAAAAAAAAAAAAAGGATAGATATCATGCAGTGAGTTTCTCCTTACTTCGTGAAAGTAAGATTTTATTTTTTTTCAATGGTTATTTTCTGCATACAACTGGCTTTGGAACAATAGTAACTAAAAATGCGGGAATTTCCAATGCAAATTTTAAATGTTATATCTGATTTTGTTCTCAGTCATATAGCTCACGTGCCTATAGTAGCTTCACTTTTAAATAACAACACTAAAATGTATGCTTAGAAACTCTTTTTCATGTTTCTGTAGCCTTGTTTGCCCAGAATAACTGTCACAGAATATATTACAGTAGATTTATATATCTTATAGAATACCTACACCAAAATTCATTAATTATTCTGGCAAATAATGATTTTAATTACTGAATACAATGTCCATACATGGAACTGTTTTGGAAACGCTTGGTTTAGCTAGTCCAATTCTCTATAAATAAAACCCTTAGTAGTAACCACTGAGGACTAGAAATATTTTCACAAGTTGCTGTAAGAGAATAATTAGCTGCTAAATGAATCTTCCCAGTGTCTGTTCAAAGGATGACTCATCTGCTCCAATATACTTGTGGGAATGACAGTCAACATTCTTTGACTTAGCCACGTCACATACCTTTTTAGAGAAAGTATTTAAAGTTGTCTCTATTGGAAAAAAAAAACAAAAAACAAACAAAAAAAAACACACAAAAAAAAAAAAAAAAACAAAAAAACAAACAAAAAAAAAAAAACCCCACACCACCAAACTACAAAACAGAAAATTTCAAAGATAAGAAGAAGGGCCTTTATCAAGAAACCCGTAATCTTGGTAATACATTCCCCATTAATAAGGATATTTAAAAAAAAAAAAAATTATCGCCTTTACCAAAGGTTTTTCTTTTGTTTTGTTTTGGTTTTAAAAACAAACAAACAAAAAAAACCCAACACATAATAGAAGCATTGAGTCCCCAGGAGCATTAACCACATTACCAAGCAGCCCAGAGACACTGAAGACAGCTGCTGGTCTCAGCTGGGTATGACCCTGAACAACCTCATCTAACTTTGAAGTTTGATCCTGCTATGAGCAAAGAGTAGAACAAATGACCTCCAGCAGTCCCTTGTAAGATGGTTGTAATTATCACTAATAACTGGTAGTAATCACTAGTAATAATACTTAATTGGTAATCTTCAGGCACTGTGAATAGGCTTTTTATTGTTTTGGATGTCTGTTAAAAACTCAGCTCAATGTAATCTAATTTAAAGGGTCAGGGAATTTTTAATTATTTTGCAGTAAGTCACAACCTCTGTTTTAAGCGAGTTTGCCAAAATGAGCAGAGATCTTTAGCATTTATAGGATTACAAAGAAATATGTAACACTGATTTTTCTGTCATACAAGTAATGATTTTATTTGGACAAGAGATTGCTTGGGGAAATCATCATCAGAATAAGATTATGTATGAAATATTATTGATTATATGAATCAGATTATATAAAATACCTGATTCCCTATATAGGACTTACAGTTTATTAAATGACAGGTATTCCAGAGGGCTAGTCCCGAGGCATTACAAAGCTTTGATGCTATGACTTTTACTTCTGGTAATAACTAGGCCATTTCAATTGAAGACCATTATGCATGTGACTTTTTGGAGCGGGTGTGCTACACAGTATTCAACAACAGAAGAAGGATATTGGAAGCTCCAGTCTGAAATGTTTCTGCAACAACCCTGATAATGCACTATGGCTAAAAGAGAAAGGCTGAGGGGACAGCAGGAAAATGTAATCAATAAAGACTGCTTTTCCTTTTTTACCTCCTGATTTTTATATGTATTCTCTAATGTCCAGTCCCTTTAAAATCTTTAGATCAAGCCTAAGTGTTCCTCAAACTACCAAAACTTTAAAAGTGAATAAACCATGTAATTTGCCTGTTTATGCTTGAAACTTCTTTAACATAACTAGTCAGTCAGTGTTTCAGGAGGAGGAAGAGGAGGAAGGTGGTGCTTCAGGTGCATGGAATTACAGTCTTTCAGTGGGCTAGGGTTATTATGCCACCTCAGTAAGTATGGCTTTTACATACCTTTTGTCATACACTCTGACTATTGTGTTTGTACTTCCTATGTGTGTGAATTGGTGGATCTGACCAGTAGAGGCAGGTTATTTTTGATCAATATATAGACTGTTCAAGAATCTACCAAACTGACACAATTTTTCTTTCTTCCATGTTTTTGATTGATAACGAAAAAGCACAAAATTATGTAATTATGTGATTATATCACAACATAACTGATCCAGCTGCAGAAGACTACCAAACAGTAAATAGCATAGTGCAGGTTGTCATCCTTTCCTTGAATTGTTCTCTTACGTGGGAGGACTTTTGGGACCGCCATCCCCACCCAGACAATTTCTCTTCACCCTTGACAAATGGGTCAGAAGATACTATGGGAAACAGTCATGTCCTCCTTAGAACAACAGATGTCTGAAGCCCCAGTCTTTTTGTCATAGCATCCCTGCAGGTCTCCCACTAAGGCAGAGATAACAGTAAACACACCTTCCAAAAGACCTATAAGCCTAGACCCTTAATTGCAACCAGGTTGTCATAATTGCAATCTACTCACAACCCAACTGGGTTCCTTGTAGGCAGAAACGAAGAAGTAGCTCTCTCCTCACTAATACCACCACTATATAGGCTGATGTAACCATTAAGGAAAATTCTGTTCAGCTCAGAAAGGACACAAGCACTGCAGTACTCAGAGATGATTGTAAAAATGTGGTCCAAATCTGATGTTCAAACCTAGGCAGATGAAAACAGAGAAAATATTATACCGGAAAAATAAGGAGAGTATAAATACCATTTCTGAGATCAGGGCCCAAAATAAAGCTTTCTCTCCTCTTGCATCCCCATCCCCTTTATTTACACTTAGCTCCAACACTGAGCACCATTCTGCTAAGGATTATCACTCCTCACTATCCCAGCCCCAAAGCATATTGACCAAAGGAGATGAAGTTCTAAATAGACATAGCCGATTCTTTCGCTGAGAGACAAAATGCTTCTGAATGTAGGTAACACATTATCTAGGGCCTTTAACAAATGTAGACATTTAATGTCCAAAAAAAACCCAACAAAAAAAAAATTGTAAAATAGGAAATAGATACAACACACAAGCATGAGAGCAAAAGAAAAAGCCCACTTTAATGGTAAATAACTGGTAAATATATTTCTTCTAATAACAGGATGTTATGGTAAGATACGCATTTTTGGTAAGAAATCCATATTTGTCTGATATTTTAATTTTATCTCTACAGAGCAGATTTAACAGAATATGTTCCTGTTTTGTTCCTGGTGTTAGAATCACATATATTGGTCTAGGATATCTTCTCATCAAGAAAAATTGTATTTAAAACCACAGAAGTTAAATTGTTATGCACAGTATTTTATGTCCATTTGGTGTTTTGGGAATCATCAATTGCTTGTTTTTTTCCTTGTTCACTGTGGAGTCATGTACCGTTCAAGTGCAACCTAGACTAGTCCAGTAATGGATGTTTGTAATCTATGTCTTTGTCCATATGCTTGCCTGTTTAGAACAATATCACAGATGTCAATAACAAAACCTGATCTTTCCTGATGCATGCAGATCCTCCAAAGTTTGATAGGATATGGCCGAATATTTCTTCCCTTGAGGTTTCTAAACCAAACCAAGGTAGGATGCTGTAAAATTCCTAGTGGTCTAAAATTAATGAAATTGCTTTCAAGGAGTCCCACATGGTGACAAAAGCAGTAACAATAATCCAATTATTTTTTTTCTTCTGGTGCTAGGTAACGCTATTCTGTAAGAAAATAACCATAAAACAAACCCAATCTGAAAAGTCGTCTAACACTCAGATTGCACACATCAACACTGCAAAAAGTCTGGAAAAGGAGATGCACAGATTATAAGTACTGACATATGGAAAGCCCTAGATAATGTTGGACTTCTTTAGACAGTAGTCTGTATTTTGAGTAAGTTTTCAGATTCTTGAGTGAGAAAGACTGTCATTGTCTACATCAAACCCATTTTTAATGTCTTGGTCCCACTTTGTTTTCTCAAGTGAGGTGAGAGGCATTCTCAGCTTGCATGCCATCCACAATACAAGCAAGTTCTCTGCAGGATAGACTCACAGTTTCCTGCAATCGAGTGCCGCACAAAAAATTACTCACAGACTGTGGCATGATGATTAGCATTGAAAGAGACAGAACAACTATTAAGATGACTAATAAAAGTGAGATTCTTTGTTATTAAAAGCTGTATTCAGGTATACTTCACATTTCAAAATGATTGTTCATTATAAAAAAAAATAACATCCTTTTCCTTATTTACTGACCTTTTCTCCCAAAAAACTCCTTGCAGAAATCTGGCCTGTGGCTTGCTTTGACTGTTCAAAGGGTGTCCCTTCTGTGCTGTAACACATAGAGATGGAGAATAAAATTAATTAAAAGGTGATCTAGAAAATAGATACTCAACTGAACAAGATGTATTGGGAATCTGTTGGGGAATTACATTGGAAGGGCTGTAGTTAAATCCATTGATCACAATGACCAAATCAAAACATACATATGTATAAAATCTACCATGCTATACGTGCAAGTTTCTATGTGTCCAACAAAAGAGAAAATACTAATTAATCTGTGCTCTCTATAAGGATTAGCAATGTACTTTAGTTTGCACTATTCGTATATATTTTAAATTAAATAACCCTGATGAAGTGATACTTAACATTCCAATAACTTCATCTAGCCCATGTTATATTTTTCCAAGCTTTTGCATGTGTTCCTTAAACAAACAAACAAGCCAGATTCATCTCTGCTCCTCTGCTCTCTGTAAGGATTAGCCTACATTATTCACAGGAATTTTAAATCAAAACATTCCCAGTGAAATGATACTTAGCATTTCTAATGGATTTCATAGCTTAATTATACTGCTTGTGATCTGAGACTTAACTTCATTGCAAAATACTTCTTGAACAGCACAAAATTATTCAGTGTTTCTTCCCCAAAAATAAGAGCTTTAGTAAATTTATTTTTGACATTTTGTTAGGGAGCACAAAACACAAAAACTGAAAAGCATTTCTATTCAGATTATGTTTGCAGCATATTGTTATGGTATTTAGCATTTATTATAGATTAAATACTTCAGTCAAGGATAGCATATGAAGAGAGTAATTACATAAATCTGCCTATATCTAATATTATTTTATTGTGTTTTCTTTGTTTATGCTATTAGGCCAGAATAAATATGCATGTAAATTTAATAAAATCCTTTGCAGACCACTCTGGTTACCATATGGTCATTGGTCATGGACTGGGAGAAACCATCAAATAACCTCTAACACAAAACTGCCAAAGTGTGTAGATATGAATTACATTCCCTTTCTTTATCTTGGATATTATAGCTCAAATGATTCAATGGTTGATAGTATATAACTCATTTTTCCTAACTTTTGCCCTTTCCTTACAAAACAATAACCATTGTTAAAGTTAATTTAAAAGTTAGAAAATAAGTTTATTTTAATCTTTTGATTTATTCCTATATGATACCTTTTCTAATTTATTGTTCATTTTATTACCTATCCAGTTGCTCCCAAATTAGCTATGTCAACTGTTTCTTCTGTTCAAGTTGCAAACCACAAGAGAGGTAGGAATTCTTGGATTCATACAGTGATTCCATAGTGCTCTGTGTTGCAAAAACATTGCACTGTATGAATCTGGAATATCTGTGAAGTGTACCCATTAGCTTACTGGTGAGGCATCTTCATTGACAATAGAAGCACAAAGAAAATAATAAGTATGCCTCTTAGTCACTGCTGGCACATAAAGTGACATGGCATTTGTTTTTAAAGGAGTTAAATGTATGAATATGACCATTCAGATTGTTGCTTAGAAAGCAAATGTTTGCTAGAGTCTTGTTTTCCTCACTGATATGTAAAAGAGGATACATAATCAGATTAGTCGAGGGCAAACAATACATTGTCCATATCCTCAAGAAGTATCTGTCAATGCCATGGATTGTAATGCATAGTTATGTCTTTTCACATTGTAAGTGTGCCTTATGTCTTCGTTTTATTGTAACAGTGTGCAAATTCAGAGTGTAGGCATTACATTTTGGACCAATGTTTCAGTGTTTTATCAAAATACTGGAATTATATGGGCATAATGAAGGATGCCAATATTCACTCTGAGTTATAAGCAACCTGTTTCATTTGCATATCTGTCATTCACAGTCTGAACCCTGGGATCTCATTGTTCTTCTTCATCAATTTATCTGTAAAGAGAGTATGTATAAAGATGCTTTTTCTTTCTGTAGCTATTGTGGATATCTCATTATTCATGAAATACATATTAACAAGGAATAGGGATATTAACAAATGTTTGAACTTAGTTTGACCCATTTGATGAGATCATGATAACAAGCCATACTGTTGGTTATGAAGTAGGTCACTTCTAAGGTTACAATGAAATCTCCTTTGTTTGCCTTTTGTTAGTGTATGAAGGAGGAACATAGAGTTACCGGACAATTAAAAAGAAAAAATGTTTTAATGATTTCTGAATAGATTTTTCTTGAAATAGTCTTTGAGCTTTTAATTAGAAAATGACAGATAGCTGTCTTATGCATTACCTGTTTTAGTCTAAAAAGTAAGCTTCCCTTCCATATGTGTTTACCATTGTTTCATGTGATGACATTTCATGTTTTATTGGTCGCAGCTGAAGCTTCAGTTGAACCTTATCCCCACAGCACAGTAGAATGTCATCTCAAAGATGTAAAGGTATAGGATTATAACAAGGGAAAAGTATTGAATTTATAGAAACAAAACAAATTATCAACCTCTTCATGAGCCTCCTTCAGTGGGTAATTTTATCATGCTTTCTACAACAGGATCAAGATTGTTGCAATAGAATCATTGCATTGGAAATAGTCTTTAAAGGCTCATACAGTCCATCCTTCTGTGAGCTATCAAGGGATTTGACAATTCCTGAAACATCCAAAGATAATTATCAAATCTAACATGGCTATCTTCTCCCTTTTTCCTTCACATTAAACCTATCTAGCTGTCTTTACCCCTTGTCTGAGGTTTTATTTTCCAAACCATTTACACCTTATTGTTATTCAGCTTTAAACTGTCTCCAGTTTATCTGTGTCTTTTCTGACATGTGGTATTTGGAACTGAAAGCAGCATTTTCTGGAACTGTAAGTTCATGTCATTTCATTGTGGGCAAGGCATTCGCAGCCTGATTTTGATACTTTCTCCCATCTCTTTCAGTGATCGCATGGCTTTGCCAGTGCATGAAAGTGGTTGGGCTGCTAGCTGGAGACGTGTGCCTAAAAACCTTAAGCTATGCTTCTGACAAGTCTAATAAGCAGGCTATTTTCTGGTCTTGGTGTGCTGGTTAAGGTGACCCACATAAGCTAGAAAGGCCATACAGCACTGACAGGTATTAGCTTCCCAGCTGGCATGATGCTGAATTCAATGCTACATGTTATGTTTGATTGGTAGCCAGTGGAGAAAATAATTCCATTTTGTTCATATGAGGGGACCCTTTACATAGCTTTTTTTTTTATAAATAGAGGGATATACAAATGATTCACTGATCAGGCCAACAGCACTAAGCAAAATAAGTTCATATTATTGCACTAGCAAAATGGGGGATGGGAGCAAAAATCAGCAAAAAATTTATTTAATCATTACTTGCCATGACTTTTCCTTTGTGCCATTGCCAATCTTTGATCAAGTGTTAGATGGTTTTTGAGTTAACTGGGTTTTTTCCTATACCTTGTAGCATTTACCAGTCTGATGATCAGGTTTCTTAGAGCTTTCCTAAATCTTACTAGAAGTTAACTTTGAGACAAAGGCTTTCTTTCACACAGCATAGTTGTTACAGAAGAGC